AGTTAGATGAGAAAATAGAAAAAGAAGCAAACAGGGATGATGTTAAAAGTGCGAAGAATCCCTATTAGCAGATCACTCGAGGTGCTTATTAACCAAATTCTTTTTTCTTCAGGTGAAGAAAGGAATTTGAAACTAATCTTTCTAAGAGAAGATACTAGATTTGCTATTTTCTTTTGTCATGTTAAATTAATCTACTTCAATTGTACATTAAAGTTTGCTACCCAGAGAACAAGGAAGGATAAAAAAAGAATCCCTGTAGCGGATTAGTGGATCTGGTTTATTTTTGTTTTTCACACACTTAACCCAATAATATCTCACCTGCAAATTTTTGAGAAATAAATTACCAGAACAAAAATTAAGCTAGGCAAATATACTTCCATTTAAACATAAATTTCCCAGGTAACAGCATATTTTAATAAATACAATTTAAGAGATATTGTCTATCTAGAAAACCCATGGCATTTCTAGTTATTTGAGGAATACTCTTGTAAGGGTCAACTCTTCCAATTAGCACAAAAACCACAAAGATTATATTGTGCACATATTAAATTGATCCACTTAAAAATGTATCTCCAACTCTGTCTTTCCAGCTGCCTGTGTACCATTACCTCTTTTCCAAAAAAAAACTTTACTTAGGCCTAAAACAGCAGTCTAACTTCACAACAACATAGTTTTAGGGGCTATTTAGTAAATAACCAACCGTTCTCAACTATTACAGGCAAATCTTGATAACTTGGATCTATATGAAAGCAACATTGGATTTAGAATTATATATAACAAGGCTGGATGTGTGGTGCATGCCCAGCACTCAGGAGGCTGAGGCAGGAGGATCACCATGAGTTCAAGGCCAGCACAGTGGGTTCCAAGGTAGCCTGAACTACATAGTGAGACTTTGTCGCAAAAAAAAAAAAAATTATATACAACAGAATTAGGAAGAATTTCTATTCAGTAAATAAAAGTTGCTGGGAAAAGAAAATGCTAGATGAATAATATAAAATAATCTAGTAAATATTATTAATAGTCTTCTTGGTTGTGGTAGCCAAAAATAGCTCTTAGCAAAACGTTTTAAAAAAAGAATTACAACTGATAAATAGTATCTTGCTTTCTAGAGCAAAGATCTAGGGGAAGAAAAACTAAACTTCAACAAAATGACAATAATTTGTCTTCTCAATGTGAAGATACAGCTACTGGTTTGTATTATTTCTACTGGCCTAAAAATAGTTACTAAAGTGATTTAATAATCCTCACCTATTTGAGAACTTGACAAAAGCAGATATATAGCTATATTTATAGATTCTGGACATTTTTCTTTCCACTGTTAGTTTCAGAAAGCAAACCAGGGGCTGAGGTGCGGCTCAGTGGCAGAGTGCTTGCCCAGCACACACAAGGCCTGGGTTCAGTTCCCAGCCCCGCAAAAGGAAAACAGCAGAGTGGCTAATGTAGGGGGAGGTGATGCTGAGAGGACAAGTATATGAGAGGGGCTGTTTGTTTCAGCAAATGTGTCAGCTGAGTTTTACAGAACACAAATGAACTCTCTGATTCTTCCCACATAACTGACAGCTATCTTTTTTTTTTTCCTGGTGATTTTTCTTTTATGATTGCTTAAGAACGAAATGAGTATTATTTAATTTAGGAGACAAGAGCTATTCTAATCATTGCTTTAATATCAGGCTTGAGAGATAAAAATTACATCTTTAAACTCTAAAATAAAACATAGGAGAGTCTACATAATTCCAAAAGAATTCAAGTTGAATCAGACAGCCATAGTTTTGTTTTTAAAATACTGTCAGACTGATTCTGTGGAGTATTCCTCTTTACAGCTCAAATGTATCACCCTATCACATCATGACCATGATACTAAAAACTGCAAAGTTTATGTACAAGATATAAAGTCTTAGCTGGGCATGGTAGTTCACACCTGTAATGCCAGCACTTCGGAGGCTGAGGCAGGAGGATCGCTGTGAGTTCAAGGCTAGCCTAGGCTACAAAGTGAGTTCCAGGCCAGCCTGAACTGCATCGTGAAATCCTGTCTCAAAAAGACCGAGAAAAAAAA